AAGAAAGAAAGAAAGAAAGAAAGAAAGAAAGAAAGAAAGAAAGAAAGAAAGAAAGAAAGAAAGAAAGAAAGAAAGAAAGAAAAGAAAAAATCAGAAGATACATCCACGGCGTTTGCTGAAAAATAATGCGCATACGAGTGGCCGCACGTGGTTCGTCCGCGGTCTGACAGGCAGCCGTTTTTAAACGCATTTGCGTATAAATCTGTCCCGTCGTATCTCCCATAAATAAATAGTTTTTGGATATTAAAAAAATATAAGTAAATAAAGGTGTCGCCTCCTCTGTAGTGTGTTGACGGACAAGTGCCTGCGCTGCCCCAGATGAGTGTGTTGAACACCTGTGTGCCAATGGCCGCCGTCTCCTCTGTAACCCATCTACTTCCCGTTAAGCTTTTAAAAACATCCTTCCCAGACAGGGTCCCTGGGTGTCAGCAAGTCCCCACAAAGGTCCCCATGTCCCTGTGGCCATCGTCCCAGAACGTTCTGCTCACCTCAAGGAGATCCCCTCCCCATGAAGCAGTGGGCGTCCACTGCCCCGTCCCAGCCCCCAGCCTTGGGGTCCATGCGTGCCCAGGGGGACGTGTCCCCAGATCAGTACCTGGGAGACCATGAAGCCGTTGGTGTAGTCACTCAGCAGACGATCACTGTCCTCCTCCGCGGAAGCCATATTCTCCCACGCTGGAGTGGCTTCGAGGGTCCCGGGCTGTCCTGGCTTCAGGGAGCTTGGGGACAGCCAGCCGCTTGGGGCTGCTGGAGGCCTGATGGGTGGGTGGGGACAAGGGTGACTCAAGCTGGGACCTCAAGCCCCTCGGCAAGAAGTGTGCTCTGCAGCCGGGCGGGCCGTGGGACACGAGGCAAATGTGCTCGCAGGGGACGCGGGCACAGACTGAACGCGGGAGCGATGACGGGCACTGGGGCGCGTCTCAGGGGACACGGTGACGAGCCATCGGCTGCATTTGCTTGATTGAACCGTAAGCGGACCGTCTCAGACGCCCAAATCCCCAGGGCTGCAGGGCCGGCCTGGGATCTTCCGCTAAGGCGATTCCTTTGGAAAGGAGATTGAGGGCTGAGCGGGGCCCGACGCGGCCCCTGGGGACACGAGCCCAGCGCCTGGGTCCCGGGGGCGCTGCCGGGATTCGCCCTCCCAGACACAGCGTCGCCAAAGCAAGGAAAACAAGACGCCAGCCTGAGAGGCCGAGCGCTGCCACCTGCCGCAGTAACACAGGACATCGGCGTGGCCGACAGGGCTCTGAGCGGGCTCCTCGGGGACAGGTTCCTTCGGAGGCGGAGGCAAAAGTGTCCTCGGATTAGACTGTGGTGATGCTGTGCCACGGTGTGAATGTACAAGAAATAAAAATCACTGTAAAACACTGAATGGCCCACTTTAAAGGGGCCCAGTTTTTGGTGTGTGCATTGTTTCTCAGTAAGGCCGCTTTTTAAAAAATGACGGTTTTTAGAACCATTTTAGGTTCACAGCAAAATTTGAAAGGAAACACAGATTTTTTTTTTTTTTTTTACCATATGCCCCCAGCTCTCACACAAGTATACTTCCCCAGTTAGGTGGCTTTTAAAGTAAAAAAAAAAAAAAAAGCATATCTGGGAACTTGGGAAGATAAAGTGAGTGAGCCTCAGATGGCCATGGCTACCTGACACTGTGCAGTGTGGCCCAGCTCCCCGCGTGCCAGGGTCCCCCCTCCCTAAGGAACGAAGACGCCCATCTCCCCTGCTCCTGAGCGGCTGCCTGCGGGGGACGCCGCTCCAGGAGGACCTTCTTCCATCCCACGGAAAGCAGAGGACGGGCCTCCACCACGGGGAGAGGCCGCGGTCACCGTGTCACCCAGCCCCCTCTCTAGCAGGTACCTCTGGGATGGTAGCGTCAGGGAGCACGGTCAGTGTGGGGGGGGCGGGGGCTGCCACCCTGTGAGCACGGGGACGGTGTGGTTGTAAAGGCGTCCACGTCCCCAGTTTTATGACTGTGTTTGAGCCAAACAGACGACATCTGCCAGGGGCAGGACCTCCAATGCCCCCAGAGAACGGCAGTTTGCAGTTTCTTTTGTGTGTTCAGAATTAAGGAACGGACACGAGGAAGGTGACATGCGGGTGGGGGACAGCCGGGCGAGTGGATCCCAGGGCAGGTGACAAGATTCTGCTCTCTTGAGTGTCCTGCAAAGGTGTGTCGACCAGGAGCGTGGACAGGCTGGCTGAAGGCAAAGACAACCTTTCACAAAAGAAGCGACATGGTGGGGGGGGGCGTGACGATCGGCCGTGACCTGCCGAGGCAGGAGTTCGGGATCCCAGCGCCCTGCGACGTCACTTTCGGTCAGTTTAGGACCGCGCCCCCTCTCCACGCAGTAAACAGACCGAAGTGGGGGGCGCCACAGACAGGTCAGCGACAAGGATTAGTTTCTGTATATAGAAGCTGACGACTGGGACATGGCCTGAACCCCTTAAAACGGTCAGTTATCGGGGCCCGGTGACCCGGCACGAAGCCCCGGGCGGGGACAGGGAAGGGACCGGGAGCCTGGACGACGGGGCGCGCGGAGCGTGCCGAG